CGTGTATAAATGTCTTGGCAAAAAGTTTCTAGTACTAACTGAAAATTAGAGGAAAATGTGTGTGTGTGTGTGTGTGTGTGTGTGTGTGTGTGTGTGTGAAAGAACACACAGAAGCGAGAAAAGGGAATTGCGTGCGGCGGTATATAACGTGTGGTAGCTGTGATGACAATGCAATGATTAAAGTTATACGTAACATTTGCAATGGTGGTGACATTGTAACGGTGTTGCTTTCGTGCCGTTCGTATTGGTCGATCGGTGTTTCTGTTGACGTTACAGTGTTTTACGGGTTAGGGAATTCCGAATAGGAAATAGTAAGTCGTGGACTTTATTTCAGACTTTAACCGATATTTATTCAATAAAGTTTCAAAGAGAAACACCAAGTGCCAACTGAATTTTTACTTATTTTATTGCATTATTCTAATTATGGTAGAGTTATTAGGGAGAGAATAAAGTTTTCTAGAAATAAAACTAAACATAAACACGACATTATTCGATTATTCTAAATTATATTCAATTACATTACGGTTGAATTCTATAAAGTAAAATCCGCCCGGTTTGAAAATCGTTTCATGGGAGAAAAAACGCAGTTGATTGTGTAATAATATCATAAATAAATACTATAAAATACATAAATTTGTATTTACATTAATAAATTACTTATTGTTTATCAGTTTTGGTCACAATACTTGCGTGTAATATTGATCACACAAAAAATGGACGACTTTGTTAATAATAATCGAGGTGAAGGACATTATTGATCTGAGGAATGCTTATTTAACATGTACAGTAATGCCTTGTTGAGTGCAACACGAGACCGACTTGATGACTGCGACGTCGTCATCCCCACCACTGGGGAAGGGGGCCGTGGAACTTATCAAGCGCTTAATTTTTTGCCCCGTGCGCAGCTTGAAATTACAAATTGAAGTAGAAATATTGATTTAAAGTTCAATTATCTCTATCATTTAACTTAAAATTGCAAATTTAAGTAGAAATATTGATTTAAAGTTAAATTATCCCTGGCGCCGCATCCCTTTCACGAGCCTACAACTGAATGAGGAGAGATCAAGAAAAGATTACATGGCTGGGTATCGACTGGCACGACACTAATGTAACGATGAAATTTTTTTATTTTTGGTTCTTTGTTAATGAAACTTTTATTAACATATTGGTGAGATTATTCCGATTTAAACGATACCAATCACGGTATAATTTAGAACATATTTACTTATGTGGAAGGAGTTAAAAATCCATATTCTTTTATTATCGCTTCTGATAAAGTACAAACATAAAAAAATGTTGGAGCCTTTGTTTGAGTGTAAACAGAAGCTTTCTCTTTCTATTCTTCACTCGCTTGTCATATTCTATGTTCGGAATACTACAAAGGCAAGCTGTCGAGGTTCGAGTCCTTGAGCAAACAATTACATTATAAAGCCAAATCCAGCACGTGCAACAGCGAGCACGAACACGCGCAACGCGGCGCGCGGCCGAAATCTCGTCGACACTCGAGCAACATACAACAGAAAAGTAGGCTTGTAATGCCCGGCATAAATATATAATTTTCTTTTTTTAACACAGTAATTAATATTCGGGTGGTCATGATAACAAATAGACATTCCTTCTGATATTTTCTATGATGCGCGTCAGAATGCTCGTATTCGGCTTGATGTTGCACGATGTCGTTAACTGCGCGTCCACCCATTAAAATCGACCCTTTCAAGAGTGTTCTGTAATGCGCATTGCACATGTGTGGACCTGGCTTAAGGTGCTGAAAACCTTTCCACGTCGTGATGACCGCAACGAAGCGGACCCGAGTTTATCGCATTCAACACGGGATTACTGTAATAGTTCCACACAGAATTCTTTAAAAAATAAAGACCGCACTGGTTTTCAATTAACAAGATATAGACCAGCGGTGGGCAAAGTTAGTTCCCGGGAGCTAAAACCTGTCCCCCACCACCGATCACCGTTACCATGGAGTAACAGAGACAAGAGTCTGAGCCTCTTTGCCACTACGAAAGCACAAAGCGCAAAAGAACGATTGAAAGGGGAAGCAGGCGCGTGAGGGCCCTCACGCTGCCCTGAGCGGATATAGGCCATCGTCGTGTTTTACCATTAAGAAGTACAAGCACATTAGGTGCCATTTCTGCGACCACGTTGGGACAAACAAATATTATTCTTCTTTATGCATTGCATTCTAACAACATAAAATTCATATTACTGCAAAATGTGTACTGCAATTATAATTAAACAATATTCTCAGTTCAATATAACTTTACACATTTTTGGTTTCATATTTTATACCCTTTAAATAAAGTCTTCGCTTTTTAGATATTCGTTTTTCGTTTCTTAACACCTTGTTAGAATGTCACCACCGGAACAATATAACCTATGGCGACGCGTACTCATCAGTTGCGTACAACTGTGCATGAATGTGTTGTGTAACAGTAAATGTACAACAATCAACGCACCAAGGTGCCTCGTAATTACACAAGATCCAATCACAACGAGAATTTCGTGATGAATAATTAGAACACGGCTGGACAAATATTACTGACCTATGTCTGAATATCAATCAGCATACAAATATAAATACGTAAAAAGAATAAATGTACGATGCAGTCGTTTGTATTTTTAAAGAGAAATTTACATTGTCAATGTATCGAGATATCGATTCATACAGTTATTAATACATGTCGATAGATCTCACATAACATACGGAAACGGTAGTATGTAAAAAAAAGACTAGAAATATGGACGTCAACTTGCACAACATTCTCGAAGACAGTACTTACCCGTTTCATGACAAGCGTACGATCAGATTCCTCCTCGTCGGGAGTCGGTGGTAGTGGTCGGTTTGGTGCACCGCCTAAAAAGAATATTCAACATTTTACATCGTAAATGAAATCATGCTCGAAATTACAAATTATTTCAATGTTTATGAAATGTTGAAGGATTCTTGGAAGTTTATACGAGTTTGAAAGTGTTAAAAGTTTTCGAAATATTATACTCCTATTTAAGGAGTTTTCATTCCTCGATTTAAGTGATGGATAACTTAGAAATCGCTTTTCTATGGGTAGAAAATTACGATAAATCAGATATGTCAGTACAGGGTGTAAAAAATGTGAAATTCGAAGTCAAATTCGAAGTTAAGTTGCTTTTTTTGTACGATGTGCAAGACGAGTATATTCAATGTACGATTTGTATTCAATAAAGTTGAACACCTCAAGAATAATTAGGCAAATGCCTGTCGTCACCTCACATAATGAAATGCATATTTGACATCCGATCAACTAAGAAAACCACTACCACAATAGTACAATATTATTTTTAACCTTGTTATTTCATCCTCCAGATCTTAGGAAATATACAATACATATACAAAACATCTTTTAATATTTTATATAATATAGTACACCAAAATAGGGGGTTCAAATTACTATAAGTCTAACGGATTAAAAAAATATCTGAGGCACCGTTAGACATCGAAAACCAAGCCATTTCTATTACCACGTATTGTAACTTCCATATCGACAAAATAAATTTAACCCATTTGTGTCAACTAGCTAAACGCATCTCAAAGTATCTACTACGTAGACGTACGATTGATAGTCAACCTGTACTATTAGTAATTTTCTTAATTTTATATTATGGATAGCTAAATTACGAATGTGCTAAGCACAGACGATTCATATACCTAAACTGGCAAAACATTCAAATAACAATAGATGCCTCCGATCGCGTATTGATCGATATCTCTGAAGTCTGTGTTCTAAAACAATGATTGCTTGTCGCTTCCTTTTTTGCTTGAACTCTCTGAAGCACAGGATTTTACAGAAATGCCAAGTTGCACAGACATTTTTTCTATTAAATGTGTCGAAATATTATTTTATTTCAATTATTTTTAGTAATATCACGATTTAAAGGTGGTATGAATAACGCCTGACCATGAGAGTTGGGTATACAAAAAAGGTGGGACATTTTTCATATCACCGAGCTTCAAAGAGTTAAAACCAGTATTATTCTTAAATATTTCACATCTGGATGGAATGGTTAACTTTGCGGTCCTCCGTCAAGGTGGATTCGACATTTAATTCCATTGCAATTACTATATTTGGACTTCAGAACCAGAGTGTATCAAGTCACAATTTTCAAACTTTAGAGGAAAGCAAATCAAAGGTGCAAAAGCCTTGTAACTTTGGAACTGTTCGGTAAGAATTCAACGAGAAACAACCGCTACCATCGAACTACTGAATGGACTTAAGACAAATCTCGATCTGTTGAAATGGTGAACATTATATTAAGTCCGCTATGTGGTGGACTTTACATTATGACCTGGAACAAGATATGAATTTAATATCATTTTCTTCACTATTACATTAAAAACTAAATGATTTAGAACGAAATAATTTTCACCGTTGAAAAGAGTGAAAAATTTAAAATAAGAAACATGCAATCTGTCATTATTTTTAAAAAGTGGACTTGATACAATCTGGCTCTGGGGTCCAGACATGCTTTAGCGATTTATGGTATATTTGCTTAAAATTGAATAACTGTATCGCTCGGTAATGCTATTTCAATACTTCTCAAATGTTATAAATACAGTAAACCCCTGTACACTCACGAGCAAAGTCGGCTTCCGTCGGGGGAAAGGCAAGCAGCGTAGAAGTAAAGTCTCCCAGCACTTACTAAATATATTTCAAGTATAGAAATAAATGTTAAAGCGAATATTAATTTGGCATAAATTTCAGTAACTCCCAAAACTAAATGGTAAGAGGCCTTTCGACAATCTGACATTTTCTCCTAGCGGAAGCCGAGTTTGCTCGTGGGGGTACAACACGGAACGTATTCCCCGCGTAATAAGGGGGTATTCTGCATGTATATCGATGTAAGGATTAAAATGTAGTTACATCATATAATATTTATACAACTGCTTAGAATACTCTGAACCGCAAAGAATTAAAGGAACAAGATACCAAAGATTATAAAATAAAACTTATGCTATTATTTCCCTGAAAGATAAAAGGACTTCAATCATATGTCCTACCTTTCGGCTTACCTTGATGGTGGGAGTTCTGGGCGTTATGCGAAGACATCGACGACGGATCTGTAGATGGTCTGAAAGGAGAAAATTCGGGTCTGCAGCAACGGACACAGAAATGCAGAGACACGTGATGACGCAGTAGGGACACGGAATGCGTTGCGTACGTTGCGTGGCGATGCGACGAGGACGACGATGCGAAGCGATATGTTGAAGCGTAATGAAAGATGAAACGGAATGACATTAGTATGATTAATTAAAGTATTCGTTTCGTTTTGATTATTGTATTAAATGATCACGCGTTTATTTATTATACATAAATCGTCGATTAGTAATTAGTATCAGTTTTCTCGAATTCACGAGAATTTACTTGATTACTATTTAGACTGCGGATTTTTATGCAAAATGACATTTTATGAAGTAATTTATTGAGACAGGAGCAAATGTAGGAACTTCTTTTCTCTCTTAAGTATGTTATGGGGCTCAGAATAAACCAGAAAACCCACTGTATCTGGTGTAAGTTTTGTCCTTTATTGGATTACGCAGAGCCCTATAGGCTATAAATGCATAAAATCCGCAGTCTAGTGAATATCTATTATCGGAAACGCTGATCATCCGAAATAACGATCAAAAGAAAACACACAACATGTCAGGAATATTTTATAAAATAACACTGTTCAACAGCCATCTGGATATCGAACATTCAATAGCGGTTTTTCGTAAATTTTTATGCCCTGAACACGAATTTTTAAACGGTTTTTCCACAGCACCCTCAGTTTTCGAGAAATTTAGTTTTGAAAAAAAAAATGCAATTTTCAATATTGCACATTTTCTCTGTTCAAACAGTAAGTAATAGTTTTTCGGTTGTTGATGCGTCAAATTATTCTACAAACTCCCCTGAATAAAATGGTATATGTTGTTATTACATTATCAACATCAACAATCAACCGAATAACTATTACCTACTGTTTGAACACAGGAAATGTTCAAAGTTGAAAATTTGCATTTTTCTTCAAATTCCGAAAAACCGTTTGCAAATTCGTATTCAGGGCCCAAAAATCTATGAGAAACGGCTATTGAATGTTAGAAAACCGAAAAAAGGTTAAAATTTGTTGAACGGTGTAATTAGTATAAAAGATTGTACCTACATATTAGGCGAATCTCGAAAGAACATACTATGTTAATATAAACATATATTTCAAAAACTTACATAATATTATGTATTACTCTTAGCCTTCGGGCACTGATGCCCGGGTCCACTTCGACCCGAGTTTTCGGCATTCATTCATATTAGTTTTGATAAATATACCGCCATTAAAAAGGAACGTTCAAAAATTCGTTTAGAAGAAATGATTCATAAGGAATATAAAGATCCAAACGGACCAAGCATTCAACTATTTTTATTACCATTAAAACCGTCGGGTGAGATCTACGGAACTGCAATTCTTCAAATTTCAAATTCTATAAATTCAACGAAAAACCGCTTATCAGATACTACTCATGATAATATATTGCTACAGTGAAAGAATAAATGTGGTGCTGCTAAAACTTCAATAAGAAAAAAATATTTTTCATCATTTTTGATTTTTCACAACTAAGATACTCAATTAAAAAATTGCAAAAAAATCTCCAACGCGCGCTCCGATAAATACTATCTATCAGATTTTTTACAGAATTTTTGCACGTCATTAAAGAGGGATAATAGAGGAAAAACCGATAATCCGAATTTTCCCTATTACTACCCTCCTGATCGAGATAAAGGATTGAAACGTGGCACAGACTATTTTTTCTGGACACACTATCGAATGATATATTACAAGTCAAAATCGGTCTAAGGGAACTTTTGACCACCTTATCCTGCTATACCCTTTGATTAAAATTTCACGTTTTATTTTATTGCAGACACTTCCGTACACTAATTATCACAAAGGAGATGAACTCTACAATACAGAAATAGAATTTTATTCTTTCCCGAATAATTCCCTTGAGAACCCTTTAGAATGCTAAATATTGTTCGCTGTTTTAAACATCTCGAATATCATAAAACTTTCAAAAGACTTTTTTCAACAGAAGCTGTACTATCACATGGCAAACAATAAACTGTATTCATTAGTTCTTTAAAGATAAAACTAGAAACAGCTAAAATACTTGATTTAACTAAATTTTCTTAATGATACAATAGATCCGGAAACATTTATAATTTTTTCGTGATCAAGTAACTAGGTATGTACCATGACACATACTAGAATAATAATATCTTATCTATTAATCCAAATATCTTATCTTAATCTTAAGACTATGCAAGGAAAAATAATTCTATATTAAATGGCTTTTGATAGATTAATTTTTTATCTGCCTTCTATATTTTATAATATACAGGGAGTCATGTAACAGGTAGCACAACCAAGTAGGGAGTGATTCTACGAGAAAAAAATAAATTTAAAATACACAATAAATTTTTTTCATTTCAGTTTTCATTTTCGAGATAATCGAATTTGTAACTCTGCTACATACGCATGCAACTACATAAATACGACCAAGCTAGCACGTTTGTTCTTTGCATTCCGTTTTTACTTACTACCATGACGTATACCCGCATTTCAGATTAATTGTTGAAGTCGATTTTTTCGAAAGCGAAGTCTCCAACGAAAACATTCTATTCTATATTTTCGATTTGTTTTTTCGCATACAATCGCCCCCTACCCGAATGTACTATCAGTTACATGATATTCTGTATAATGAAAAATATGATTTTACATGACTGCAAGGATTACCCTTTATATTTCATAAGAAATTCATTCGGAAATTCAAGTTCTCTATTGTATTTTAAAAACTGGTTAAATGAGGGGACAACAATAGTCAATTATAAAGAGCTAATATATGTATTGAAGTCTTGAGAATATTTCCTGTCGCCTGTTTTACTCAAACAACAAGACGTGAAACATATTTGTCCATTTAATAATTATTAAGCCGCGTCCCCATCGTTGTGGCATTTGCCGTGCGGCACAGATCTGCGGCAACATTTGCCAGTCGGCGCGCACAGTACTCCCGAACAGTTCAGTCGATTGACTTGTTCAATATTTGTGGTACATCCGCATTTCATTGCATTTGTGTAAAAAATACAAGTTTGCAATTTTTGCCTACTTTCGTGAAATTGGGGTGTAGGTACTTATGCATTTTTAACTCAAGAACTTATCATATTGATTTAATTTTTTCTTTCCTTTACTTTAGAATGGTTGGCCTATTTGAATAATATTTTTTTAAAGGGGTTACGTTCCCAACCTTCCAAACATCGAATTTTGTTCTCATTTAAATCAGATATTTATAGTGTGTAGAATATTAGGCAAAAAGAATTAAAGCAATATCTCAATATTTAAAGAAGATATTTGTCAAAATGTGAGAGCGTGCACGGTCGAAAAATCCGACCACGTCGAATACTAGAAAGTCTAGAAACCCTAGAGTCCATAGCATGCTCCTATAATGGTAGATTAACTGTAAATTGTAAAAAAATGTTTTCTTTTAGCATTTTTCGTCTTTTTTAACTTGAAACACGTTTTTCTGATAATCATATTTTACAAACTTGTCAGCATAACTTCGACAATTTTCAACCTTTTTTTATGAACTTTATGTTGACCTACATAGAATGACATTCGCTAAGGACCGCCGGATCGTTTTAAAAAACTTTTTATTTTTAATATTTTTGTTTACTATTTAAAGATCGAAATTTCAGGCGATAAATTGACTTCTTCGTTCAAACTGGTATAACTTCCTTATTTTCCACAAATTCAAAAGTTTGACCCGATGGCCCATTGATACAACACCATTTTATAAGATCGTTGCTGAATTGTTATTGTTGTATTATTTTATCATGGAAATATCCTGCTGACAAAAAAGCCCCTTTTTCGTGCGGAGGTTGCTGCAGCCACAGAGATTGGAGGCAAGATATGACAAAAGTGTCTCAAAATAATTTTTTGCTTACAAATAAAGGTCCCAGAAGTAATATCCAGTTATCACATTTTTCAATTATTTCACTCCTCTCCAGTTAAAAGTTCCCAAAGACGATCAATTTTTCCGCGTCGAGAACATATGTAACCCCTTCATTGAAAAATCATATTATAACATGGAAAATTAGAAACTAATTTTTCTTTTGAGGAAGTCATTTCTGATTCACATCAATAGGCTACTAACACAAAGTCACGCTGGGTCGAGCTCGAGACCCTCTCCGATGCAAATACTATACATACGTACATGATCAATGTCCACAAATTCATAATCCATTCCTCGGACTGTATGCGGATTTTTATTATTCGTATACGAAAGAATAATAACCACAACAATTTAAAAAAAAGTATAATTATTCCATATTTATATTATCACAACTAGTGCATATAATTCGACGGTAACAGAGTACAAACGGACAATTGTAATTTTGTGGATTTTCACTTTTTTACAGAAATGGACTCTACATATTGTTTAGAATATTACTTATAATCTGTTCATGTCAAACAGAAAGGAATCAACCGAATACGATATACAATAGTTGCCGAGATATAAATTCATGAATACAATCCATTTTCACGAAAATAGGCAAAAGTCGCAAAGTGACAGGCCTGTATCTCGTAAGTAAATTCAAAACTCGGAAAATGATGACTAAAACCCCACCCCGTAATACGTTCCACGTGGACTACATCATACGTCATTTTGAACAAAATCCCAGACATCGAGAAAAAAAAGTGATCGACTTGGCGTGGAATGACCCTCCTGTGTTGTCGAACACGCATCCTCATTGCTAATTCGGCACGAATTCTTTTTACGTTTACCGACATCAGTCGGGAAACGCATCAGAAAACGAATCGGCATGCCGTTCGGCTTTTCAAGCCATGAATGCAAGTTCACACACGAGTCTACACATCGAACGGCTGAGCCGTCTGACAAATGCCGAAGCAATGGGGACGTGGCTTTACACTTGACGTAAACATTATGTCGCACACATGCCATAGAAAGTGTGAACTACAACCGAATATTTAGCATTCTTTCCCAGAGTAACACACAAGTTATTCGTTCATCAGTTAACACTTTAATGTTAGAAAAAATAAAGGTTTTTACTCACAAAGGTTTGGGTGGATCGCTCGCAAGTAGGGTACCATCATTCCTCGCATTATTTCCTCCTGCATCTTCAAGGTCGTCGTCACTATCACTTTCAACGGACAAGGCCTGCAAAGAAAATTTTTCATTTATTGTACAATGTTATTGAAAGAATAACACCGCAATTAATATTATAGTTTACCATCTTCCGTTCTGGCCAATCTCTACACATTTGTAATTTAAATCTTCTCTGGTCAACAGAGATACGCGACCTGTTCTAAAAGCAATGAGATTCTGTTTATGAAAACCTTTTTGCATTATAATTTTAATAATGAAGATGATTTCCCTCAAAATAGTTCCCTTGAACATCGATGCACCAATAGAAATGTGTCTGCTTCCTTGGAGTAGTATTACCCAGAGATGAGTATTATCTAGATAAAAAGTTATTTAAATAACGATTCAAATAAAAGATAATTTATTTTTATCCGTTATTCGAAACGTCGAATAACTGGATTTATCTTTATTCGAAACTCCACGGATAAATAAATCATTCGAAATGAATTTATTCGAAAGTGAAAGATAATTTGTTAGCGCTCGTCGCTAACACAGGTTTATGGTACGGTCAAGGATTTTTAAAATTGATTGGAAACCCTCGGAAGGAAACGTGTTCCTGACATTTGGCAATCAACTGTGCAGGATACCCACCTTGGAAGGGTCCGCATGACCATCGACGTGTCATAAACCCCAGACCTTGGGACGGTACCTATGCGCGGGACTTAACGGTTTCTCGGAACCGCGTGAGGAAAGTGGAACCGACGGGAAAGTCCGCGATGTTGCCGAACTACCGTCCACCCCCATCGTCAGAGGGTTGCGACAACCCCTCCTTAAAAGTATCGCGCCAAGGGCGCATGGAAGGGATGCACGGGCCCAGCAACCATTTTTCCGGAGAGTTTTTTGACACAGTCAGTCAGAGACATTCGCAAGCAAACAGTCATTCAGTACAGTCGCACCTATAGACAAATTTTAGAACGCTCCAATAATTAGGTTTGAACTCTGAGTGAACAGTTAGGTTCATTGTTGTATTTATTTAATAGCACTCAGTCTCTTTCTGTACATACTGTAAATAAATATAGTTCGGTTATTAGTCCCAATATTGGGTGGTCCTTCGCATTTTACTAAGATGGCACCTCAGTGCAAATACCCGCGATCGCGACCAAAACAGAGTGTCGTGATCCTATCATAATTTTTTTATTCGAAGGAAATTTATTCGACCGCAAAAGATAATTTTTTTATTCGAACGGAATTTATTCGAGCCGTCGAATAAGGTTTCCTTATTTCCTTACTTCCTATTTCGAGTAAGGTTCAACTTTGGCCAGCCAGCCAACTCGAAAAAACGCGTTGGCGAGCGTCGAGCATCGAACGTCAAAGGCCAGCGACCGACAGTCGGCATACAATTTAAATAGACGTAGATGAGATAAGGAATCACGCACGAATGAAAATTTAAACTTTTACAGACCTGCTTAATAATAACACTGTTCAACACGTAAAATTTTTTGAAATTGTCAATAAGCATTTCTGATAGACCTTTATGAGCTAAATACGAATCTGCAAACCGTTTCTTTCCAGCACGTTCAGTTTTTGAAAAAATCAATATTTGAAAAAAATTGCAAATTTTCAAGTTTAGAGTTGTGTTGTGCTTTTACATTAATAGTTATTAAGTTACTTTTTACACGAATTAATTCTCTGGACAATTGCGAACAAAGTGATATAAATTATTACTAGATTATAGTCTAATCTAAATATGTTTAAATAATGCTCAAAGTGAAAAGCACACCGAACATGCACCACATTTTGCTGATATTCTTTAATTTATTTCAGAAATTAAAGGTCTAGGAGAAAATCTAACCATACGACGCGATAGAGCCGACCTTTCTGCTCTTGCCCTGCGGGTAGCGGGATTTATAGGGGTCACAGCCGCGATGACCCCTCGCGTCGCCCGCAAGGCAACCGGGCCGAGGGGGTGGTACTGGGGGTATCACCTCCTTTCGCGGTCTGTCCACGAAAAGACAGCGTCGAGAGGTAACCCTTCGGCGTTGTAGGTAGGAGGTGGAGGGGAGGGGCATTCGTTACCCCCCTCCAGAGAAGAGCCCACCCCTTAAACACCTATAGGGGAGGGCAATGGGCAGGGCTGGCCGTGGTCATGCCGAGCGTTCCCTCTACCAGCCCTTCGCCCGAGGATCACCGGGGGGTTTTCAGTGGGTAAAACCGCACATTGGCCGTCTCCGGCCCCAGCGGAGGCGATTCACCTTCTTGAAGGTTTTCCCCGTTACAAAAAAAAAAGACTCTTCTGCTCAGGAAAGTATTAACGAAAGTTACAAAATCTGTTTTGTTTTAAATAGGGAAGCGAAATGGTTCAGCAAAACACGCGGCGGCGACAGTGGTACTCAGTGACGGCGGTCGTCTTGCCTGCTGCTCGGCGTAACGGAAACGCTAGGCGCGTACGGCCACCACTGTCGGCGCTGCGTGTTTTGCTGAACTATTTCGCTTCCCTATTTAAAACAATGCAGATTTTGTAACTTTCCTTGACACTTTCTTGAACAGAAAGGTCTGCTCTATCGCGTCCTATGGTTAGATTTTCTGCTAGACCTTTAGTTTTTGAAATAAATTAATGGACATCAGCGAAAAGTGGTGCATTTTCCGTGTGCCTTTCATTTTGAACATTATTTAAGCATATTTAGATGTCTATAATCTAATAACAATTTATATCATCTTGTTCGCAAGAGTCCAGAGAATTAATTCCTGTAAAAAGAAACTGAATAACTATTACTGTAAAAACACAACACAGTTCCAAAGTTGAAAATTGGCAATTTTTTTCAAATTTGATTTTTTCGAAAACTGGACGTGCTGGAAAGAAACGGTTTGCAGATTCGTATTTAGCTCGTAAAGGTCTATCAGAGACGCTTATTGACAATTGCAAAAACGAAAAAAAGTTACAATTTGTTGAACAGTGTAATTTGCAATGAAATTTTTAGTATATTTGGTACCTGATCAAATCCTTAATAGAGTATATACAATGTTATAGTTCTTGGGAAAGGGGCGTGGGTCCGGTATTCGTTTAATGGCTTGTGGTACGGCTGGAAACTGTCATACGAGGTCATTTGAAGTGTGTCCCAGCCGCACCATTTTTAATGGCAATCGACGCGTCGCACAGTAATACAGAACGCCGATTTAGGAGTTCAGAAGCTTAATTTGAGTGTAACAATGGTAAATTCAAAACCAAACTTGGTAAGCATGTATTCAACATCCATATTTATTAAAAGAATACAAAATTAATAAGTAATGTTTTTTACTAATACTTTTTATATAAACAAAATAAACAAAATTTTTTTTGACGGAGTTATTGTCAGTTACAAGTTCTTTTACACCATTTTCGAAAATTAATAGACTTCTTTAAAAATTTTTCTTCTGGATAACGAAATTGTGGATATTAAACAATTAGAGAATGCTAATAATTTATGGAACAAATCAGTAATTGTTTCAGTTGAGGACAACTTTTTATAAATTTGTATCAACATTAGATGCATTTCGTTACATGCACACCATGTTCAACATAGCTTTAAAATTTGAAATTTTGTTGACAAATAAAGATTATTTCCAAATGTTTTGCAGACATGAGGTTTAGTGGTAAATAACTATTGATGCCGGCTATTGGCGGACTTGATTTCTAATTTAATTGTTACTTTAACTCTAATTTATTGAATTACGATTAGTTCCAAGTGCGCCATTTTGCGCCTAAACCAAAATTATTTTGGTTTTAAGTTCTATCAGTCTAGCAAGTAATATTATACCGAATAACAATCACTGATTCTCATGAAATTTTCTTACAAAGTGGTTCTCATCAAAATATTTGACACATATATTTTTGTATCTGCTGTCATCCATATTGAAGGAGTGAAAACAGACCTCAAAGTTATGGGTGTGAAGCATGCTTGGTTGAATATCTCGGAAACTATTGGAGATACAAAAACGATTTAAATGGCAATATTGTGTGTTTTGTTATACGGTATTCCGATATATTATTAGACTTTAACAAAATTCAGTTGTTGACCCTAAAAATTAACAGAAAGGCAGAACTTTTAAAGGATTATTTGAACAAATGAATTTTTCTAAAATGAATTGTTCTGTACCACTGTGCGTCGTGGGTCCAAGCGATGGCAAATTTATGGGCCTTTGACGGCGGTTTCCTGAGAAGGCGATATTCGTGCAGCAGTATTTTGCCTGCTTGCATTGTGCGAGTTGCGTCGCGATGCGTTGTACGTTAGGGAAACCGCTCTAGATTGCCATTAGCCCTGGCATATTCCCACCTAAAGTCTTGGAAGTAGAATATGCGGATGGAGGGATCGTTTCGGGCCTCCTCGGTTTTCACTTTGTTAAAGATCGTCAGAAAGACAGCAGAAAGCATTGAAAAGCATTGAAAAGCATTTAAAAAGTCAAAGAGTGTGTGCGAGATTGATCGAGCCGTTCTTCGCCGTATAGAGAACTTGATGTTTCAACTGTTTTAGTTAAATAAACGTTGTTATTTAGTTAGCAAATAAAGGTTTAATTATTTGCCACATACTGAGCTCCATGAATTATGTGGGAGTTTAACATACAGGGTGTCCCATTTCAGTCGATTCTCTCGAATGTGTCCGAAATTATTCATGATATCGGAAAATGTTTCGAACAGAAGTTAAGTAATTTCCAGGTGGATATAATTTGATGTCAGTAGTTTGTTTGTAAGTGGAGGCGTAAGGGACCTTTATAAAGGTTAGCTTTATTTTTTTAACGAAACCACTATTTTTTTTTTTAATACATTGATTGATGATTTTTAATATGTTTGTTACAAGCCAGGGTCGCGAGCAGCGCGAGAGGCCAGCGAAGTAGGTTTTCCAAGGAATATGATTTATCACTTTATCAGAGCCGCTAGAATGATTGAAAGCGAGGACAAGCCTGATGCGAAATCAGGGAACCTCTAGGGTTGGAGTCACTTGCGGACGAAACTGATGCGAAATCGGGAATCACTAACTATGTCACGATGAGATTGCGCAGACGAACTCAGCGCGTAGCTGAGGAGCTGCGAGGAAGGTGGAAAATCTGTACAGACTAGATAGGTCAAGTTTCGTGGACGAACCCAATGAGAAGTCGGGAAGCCAGTAGGAGCTCGTAACTCGTTTTATAAATTTAGATACAACTCGAGCTGTAAAGTTGTATCGTGTGGGAAAGGTCAACTACGACTATAATGATTACCAAACCAATGAATTTTAATAATAAAATAATATAATATTATACACTCAGTCTTTGGTATAAGTATGTGTAGTCTAGTGTTGTCGCGGTAAAGTATTAAGTGTAATATTACCAATTAAATGCTCGGTATTAACGTACTGGCAATGCGGGGACTAAAAGCGGTTTTAAATCGTTATTAAATAGAAGTTCAACCGAACTCGTGGATTGTATAAGGTTAACTGATAATTCAAAAGAGAACTTAAACCCCATCTCACTGGATACAACCGACTCTTTACCAGATAGAATACGTCATGACTCTACAAATGACTGTACTATGTAGTCTGGCCCACGGAGGGTTAAAATCAGAGGGTTGATATAGTACCAAAATGGGATGGGGTTTCATTAGAATTTCCCTATAAGGAAATCTTAACGGTCAGGAGTGAATCATAATTCTGCATCTAGTTGCTATCCAGTTGGTCGTGATTACGCTCCCCCTATTACTTGAGGAATAAACAGACGGAGTTTTAGGGCATTAATTTAGGAGATATTTTAATTTCACAATTACACACGTCCTCTATGGACCTACTACTGAACATTACCTTAAAGAAGGTAAACATCGTAAGTACTGCTGTGCCATTTTTACATTAAAATATCTCCTAAATTAATGATTTTCCGACATAAGTAACTTACATAGTACTTTTTTTATAGAGAATGACGAGCCGCATCGTCTAGTGTATTAAAACATATATGATTTCATTGAAAAAAATAAAGTTGAGTTTCACATGTTTTCTACGCCTCGAGCTACAAAATAACTATTAACATCAAATTATAGTTTTTGTTGGAAACATTTTCTAGTATCATGAATAATTTCGGAGATATTCGAAGGGATTGACTGACATGGGACACCCTCCCTGTATGTTTCTCTTTGACCTTACAAGAATCTTTATTAGCATAAACATCCACAGCCTATTTTTATAGCTGGACAGCATATTGGCCAGTCATAATTTTTACAGTGCACAAACGACTGTAACACTCACTTGATCAAGAATACTGGAAGACTGCGGCATCTGTTTGTTGTTCTGATCGTTGCTGCTTGCAGGCTGAACGGAATTGGATGTGGACGATACAGCAGGGCCTTTATGCTGTCTGTTCGGCCTGGGCGGGGCCTCTGGGCCCTGTGACACACCAAGCTCGTTGAGTTGAGCGGCCAGCATGTCCAAGTCCTACCACCCACACGCACACACGCACAACCCCGTTAGTCACTGTTTCGAGACACCTCCGAAAATGTTCTAAAAGCCACCACCAAACAGCCAGGCAAGACGAAAAAGAAACAGAAAGTGGCAGAGCAGTTACATGTCCGTGTTGCGTTCAAGCGGCAGAAGCTTACATTTTTATCAATATTATATATCTTAGAGTTTATAGAAAACCTTCAAATCTACACTTTCGTGGAATACGATCGTTGGTAATGTAAATAAACGTATTTATATCTATAAAAATGAATCAATACTACTTTGGAATCGTGTCAATCGTGTCTATTAGATCATGTGGAAAACTAATACAGTTTTTCAAACTTGATATATTAACAAGAAATATCACAAGTCATTTGAACTGTAGATCATACAGTTTGAATTAAGTTTAATCGCCATTCATCGAAATCATTTTTTACAGAATAAAGATTCATAGGTAATGTGTGTACTACACGTATAGTACATGGTATAATGCTAAACATGTTACATGCCAAGACACCTCCAAAACTAAGTATTCTCTTAATTCATCTAATTTAAGATATCAAGTACATATTTTTTTATTACGACATGTTATTGTGAGAAACTTTTAGTTATTTTTCTTTTCTGATAAATACAGTCTATATGCTAATATTAGATTGAATCGTAAATAAGATCAGTTTCTCTTCCCAAATTTATGTTACTCCAAGCCATTTTAAAGTTAATATCAATCTATTATACATTCCGCATTAAAATGAAAGCTAATAATTGATATTCAGTATCACCATTCTTATTACCGTTGCTGTTTAAGTATTATTTAGTCATGTTTAGTCTCCATGATGGAACTTATTTACGAATCAAGCCAATATTATACTAAATATAATTTAGGCAACACCTATCGTGGAAACATATAGTTTTATTTTTTTTAAACAAAAATTTCGAAAAAAGAAATGAGATATTTATCTTTCTCTTCAAAATAGAAGTATAATCTTTCCACACAAGCTAATAGATCAAGTTGTGCAAAAACAGTTTCCATCGCTAATTTTTAACCAGTACTGACGAAAGTTAGTCGGTCTTCTTTTAAATTCATTGACACTCAAACAGAAAATAATTCGTTGATTAATGAAAATTTTGAAATACATATAGCATATTTGTACAATAATTTATACTGCAAATTCTATTAAGTTACGTTTCGCGTTGAATACAATGGAAATATAAAGATACGCGATTCGAACACATTTCTCGAAACATGAAGGGACGTGTTGTGTTTGCGCATCTAAACACCGTATATCGCTACCGGTGGGAGCACAGATCACACATTCAGGCGAATTCAGTGAAGCATCATCCAGAAAATAGTAATGTGCTCAAGCGGGGATGGGGGGGGGGAGGGCGCGCATGTTATAGGATGGTGATAGTTAAACGACAAATTCGAAAGATTCATTAGTACTCTGCGTGAGGTTAATACAAGCGAACCGTGTAAGTCGATAAAGAGAAGAAAGATTGCTCTATAGCTTATGTAGAGTGACTGTTTGGTAGATTACGTGTATATATAATTGCCAATGTTACGTGTACAAACGAAACGTGAATGTGACTGTATATGTATAAATGTGGGATTAACGATGTAACATGTAAAGAGAAAAATAAGTGTTGTGTTCTTACCTCCGGCCTCCTTGGCGGCAGCTACGGTACGTGTGAACATGGAAAAAAAATAGAAACCGAATAATTTCAAGTACGAGTGGCCTCTGTATACTGTACAGGGTGATTCACGAGTACTCAAACACCTAAATATCTTGTTTCGGACTGAAGGTGTAAAAATGTGTCGGTTGTACTTTAAGGGAAGAGACTCCGTGGGCCGTGATCTGTGTGCAAGTGCTCACACAATCAACGAGAACCGTATATGTATATGTGATGCACCAGAAAGCAATCGATTTCGTAGAATCCAACTTCTGCCTCGATAATTGCACGAATGAAGTTGTCACGAGTATAGCACTCACGGGTAGACTTTACTACAGGGTAATCTGGTCCTTAGAAACACCAATAAACACCATATGTTGAAGGAATTAGAATTTTAGAAAGTGTGTGATTGAGACAGATGCCGATATAAACACACAAGATGATTGCTCAAGTCACATTTTGTCAAATATCGCACGATTTAATGGTTTTTTCGTCAAAAGCAGACCAGACCATTCTACATACCACTATCACGCTATCGTAGAAATGCGATCTTTGTAAATTTATCACTTCTGGAAGGCGTAAGTTGGATTCTACGACTTGACACGTTCAGACTCAAGAATATACAAGCGTGTGTAGTTAAAGAATTAACCGCTAAGAGCGTTTATGGTATATGCCAGCCACTTTGGCCGTGTTACCATCAGCATCGATAAAACGACAAATCAGTCGGTACATGTAACCTCGCAACACGAAAGGCATAATTGCTGGACCGTATCGAGAGTTTTGTTACGCTATTGCCACATGTCCCCCTATTACAATTCTGCTCATCAAGAAAACGATGGAATACCTAAGGCTCGTGGCAAGATTTCGATTTTCAGCTTTTTAATAGATATATAAACTCAGGATACAAAATAATGATAATTATTTAATGGTACCTATAATTTCAAACAGCAGATTTGACACGTATTTTAGACGTTCATTCACGTTGACAATTCTACGTAGAAAAAATGAACAGCCCTATGTTGTATTAGCAAAACAGCTAAGTACCGGGAAATGTCTAATTCATGACACCCTCAAATGTCTATCGCCTTCCCTTCTTGGGCCTCGCAGTGACGAAAATCTAACACCCGATCGGAATGCTCGAAGGCTCGCATTTTCTTACAATATCGTATTCTATGTTTTGAAATGGTACGTGGAATACCCAGAATATACAATGTAATTTTTACAATTTGTTTGGAAACATACAAATGAAATTACATATGTATGTACATATGGAATACCATACCATGTATGAATAAAAAGTTGTATTGTTACACACATTACTATTGTTTCATCAATATCTTTTTTTTGTTCACCGTGACCCTTGGACCTCCCAATCTTTCACTCATGCTATCCTCTTTTACGTTCGGTAACATTCAGAAGCTAGGCTACATACAGTTTTAAAACTTTAGGAAAATATAGCCTCCATTACGATCAAGAAGTGTGCCAAATTTCAGCACTAAATTTTTGTTAGTTTTTACAAAAAGCCATTAATTTATCCCAACACCGTCTTCGTAAAAGTTAATTCCTCCATCTTTGGCAGTTCGGACAGCAAGCCGCACGGGTGTTTTTTACTGTTCGAGAGTTGCACAACTATCACCTAAATTTCCAGATGAAATGACTTTTTAAAATTAAACCACCGAAAAATGGCTGCAAAAATAGGTATATTTATTTCTCGTAAACAATTTGAATAACGTCTTCATTGTTTACTGTATCCAATTGCCGTATAGACCATTCGATGAAAAATTAGTATAAACCCGAAATTTTTACTTACTTGATTTTTCATGTTTTAAATTGACTCATTCTGTTTATTGTCGTAGATGATCTTTATGAAACAGAGACAAATCTGAAAACTGCACATTTTTCAAATTGAAAGAACAAAACTTGTTTTATACGACTTACATTCGTAAGTCCCATGTATATCTAACACTTAATAATTATAATATTAAGGTATATAATCTCTTATAATCAAAGACTTCGAATAAACCTTCGAATAACTTTTGCTAGCACGAATAAACGCGCTGCCGAACGTCGAGCGCCGAAGGTTCCAGGACACAACCGTCCATAGGCATACAATGCAAGCAGCAAGTAAGCTTTTATAGCAGCGCGTTTATTCGTGCTGGCAAAAGTTATTCGACAGTTTATTCGAAATCTTTGATTATAAGAGATTATATATCTTAATATTATAATTATTAAGTATTAAATATACATGGGACTTACGAATGTAAGTCGTATAAAACAAGTTTTGTTCTTTCAATTTGAAAAATATGCAGTTTTCAGATTTGTGTCTGTTTCATAAATTAAACTCCTTTTACAAAAAAAAAACAAAATGAGTCAATTTAAAACATGAAAAATCAAGGAAGTAAAAATTTCGGGTTTATACTAATTTTTCACAAACTGGTTACGATATTTGTTAATATCTCGTCGAGGTACCCCAAATTAAAAAAAATTCATCGCTCAACGTTAATTTGTTGCACAGAAAACGTACATTTTTCCGGGTCCGCCAGATAAAACGCGCAAGATCAATTTGGGCCAGCACGCGCTCGTTCGCGTGGTAGGCTCTCCCCACTCCGCTCCCGCCGCGCGCTGACCGTTTGCATACCGGAACATTGGGATCTTAACAAGAGAAGCTACTGATTGGATTAACTAAAAAATTAGGGAACAGGTAATTTAAGTCTTTCCAGACTTCGTTCAAATGTCAATGTTAAAAATTACCGCTACAGTCCTTTAAAAAAGAATCATCGCGACTCCTAATTAACTTACAGTAAAATATTTGGTTTTAAAATTTGTAGACAAATAGCAGTTATCGAATGGTCCATACGGCAGTTCGATACAATCAAATTTTGTTTAATTTATTAAGTCATTTACAATTAATTCTCACTGAGAATTAACTATCGTTATTCCAACTTCTATCGATGAGAAGGGCTCGATTTGAGGAGACATTTCGAACGGCGATTGTAAGTATTCAAGTATTTCGGTTTCATCGGTGGTTTATGTAGGAGGGGATGGTTTAAATACCTCAACCAGGTGGGACGCAAACAAATTCGCTTTCTCCGTGGGACTTCTTGCCCAGCCACCGTGTAGGGGGCGAAGTGGAGGAATTTCTTGCTGAGGACGAGTGAGTCGTCTAGCCGCTTTCTAGAGCGAGTAATTAGTATCTACTGTAGGAGATAAGTTTACTAGGCATTTTTGGAAACAGTCGTTTTTAAATTTCTGGAGAATTTTTGTAAGATTTCTAGTGGCTCTATTTAGTCTCCGTTTGTCGTCTGGAAGTCTGTTATTATGCCAGATTCTTCGAAGCTTTCGTTTTTCGGCAATTTTTTTCTTTAAAAAATCAGAGTAGTTTTTGTGAATTGGATTTTCCAGATTGTGAGTTAAGTAATTCACTGCAGCGTCTATATCGTCGTTCGTTTTTAAGGGTACTGAAGCTGTCATTGAGGTATTGAATATTTTCCGAAAATGAGACCAGTTCGTATGTTTATTGTAGATAGAGGTAGGAGGTACGTTTCCAATGATCACTGAATTAATTGTTGCGATGAGAGGAGAATGATCCGACGACAAGTCTAATGAGGAACAAATTTGCATATACCTTGGAGATACATTTTTCGTTATAAAGAAATCAAGGAAGTAGTATATGTTTGTATCCGACGGGCAGTATGTAGGTTCACCTGTACTGATAATAGTTAGTCTATTAGCCTCAATACTTTTTAGGAGGATTCTCCCCCTTGGTGTAATAGTTCTACTACCCCATTGGGTGTGTTTTGCATTTAAGTCGCCTCCTGCTATGAATTTGCATCCCAGGCTTTCAAAGAAGAAATCAAAATTTTCCTTAGAGATATTGCGCTTAGGCGGGCAATATATCGCAGATAAAGTTAATGGACTGTGCCAATCATAGATCATAATATTTGTTGCTTGGGGGTAATCTTGCTTAAATGGAGGAAGTTCATAGTGTTTTAAGTTTGATTTTACTATAATCGCGGTGCCGCCACGTGCTCTACCACTGGGGTGTAACGTATAGAAAACTTTATATCCATGAATTTTCAAGAAGGTTTTGTCAGTAAAGTGCGTCTGAGATACCAGCATTGCTTGTATATTTTGACTTTTTAAGAAAGATTCTAATTCGGTTTTATGTTGCACTAACCCGTTAGAGTTCCAAAGAGCAATACGTATGGGTTTCATTGATTTGAGTTAAATGTTAGTTTCTTGATGATTAGCGTTAATAATGATAACAGGTCGTTTATTTGTTCCGTTTGCCTTTCAATAAATTTCACCAATCTACAGAAATTTTCAACAATGCGAGGGTTATTATTATGGTTTCCGTTGGTGTTGAATCGAGGATCTGGCACATTTCCTGTAGGTTGGCTTCTTTGTACTACCTGTGTATAGGAGGAAGAGGGGACAGTCTATCGTTGATTACTACTTATTGTATTACTTTGAGGATTCGTTTGGGTATTCAAATTTGCTTTGGGTCTGCGTCTCGGTTACATTTTTCTATGTAGTTCCCTGTGTATTGGACACCGTTTGTAGTTCGCGGGATGGTTACCTTCGCACAGTACACATTTTGGTGGGCTTTCTAACGATTTTGTACATTCCATTGTTGGATGCCGACCAGTACATTTCGCACAGCGGAAGTAATGGTTACAATATTTTTGTGTGTGTCCATATCTTTGACACCATTTACACTGTACTATCTCCTTTTTTTGTGGGGTGCTCCAATTTTTAGTATCGTGTTATTTATTCGATCGATACTATAGACGGATTTGTTGTTAGGTTTTTGTTTTAGACCGATTTAAAATAATGAAAGAGGATTACGCGTGATTTTATGTTTGATGTGAATTCTTCCTTTAACTTGTCGATATCCGTTGAGCGATGGACGTTCCGTAAAACGACGCGGAACAGTCTTTCTTGTTTTAATTGAAAAGTATGATATTTAGCGTCCGATGACCTTAAACAGTTTGTTTTTTTTCTGTAAGCGTTAGAATCTGCTGGCAGGATTTTCACTTGGTCGTTATTTATTCTTAATTTGTAGTCTTCTTTGTTAATGGCCTTTTCTAGATATCCTGTCAGTGTTTGAATGTCAATGACGTCGTCGAGATATATAAAAAATAATAATATTGAAAATCTGTTTGATATTGATGTAGTACTCGTCGATGGCTCTTGCCTGGCTTTGCTGTGTCCATCTATGGTCCCTATCCTTCTTCTCTTCTTATTCTGATCGGTTCTACCAGTGGAGGTATCCTTTTGCCACGGAGGAGCCAGGTTGTTAGCATGTAAATTCTGGTCAAGAATTTGTGAAAGTTTTAACGTCATTTCGAGCTAGGTATAATCGATTTAAAATCGGTATACTAGTCGAACGGCTTTGATGATTGTCTTTGTCTATGTAGAGATCGTATTCCTCACTGTGATTTAAGTATTGTTGGGTATTATGACTGTATTTCCTTGGCGGCTGATATATAAACATACTCTATATTATACACACGCAGAGCTCGATTTCACACGTCCGAATGCTTCAACGGTTGGCACACGACTCATAGTACAATAAAAAATGAAGATGTTATTCAAATTGTTTACAAGAAAACAAGATACGTATTCTTTGGGGCCATTTTTTGGAGGTTTAATTTTAAAACTGTATTTCATCTGGAAGTCTATATGGTAGTACAACTCTTAAAGAGTAAAAAATACCCCCGCTGCTTGCTGTTCGATTTCCCAAAGATAGAGAAATTAACTTTTCCGGAGACGCGTTTGGAATAAATTAATGGTTTTTTGTAAAGAATAACAAATTTTTAATTCTGAAATTTGGTAAACGTTTTGATCCCAACAGAAGCCATATTCTTCTAAAATTTCAAAGATCTATGTTCAAATCTCTCAGAGTATTATACAATTAGCGCTTATTTTGACAGTTTTAATTCTTTTGCAACTAAAGATGTACACCGATTTTAACGTTCTATATCTTACTTTGCAGGTATCACAAATACCTACATATTGCATTTGAACCTTTTTTCTCTAAAAACATTATACTTTCTTCTGCACGCGAAAAATATGTTTCTCACACTTTTTCGAATTTTTTTAACAACGTTCCCCATCATTTCACGAGTTTCAAACATATGCATTTCATTTCTAATGACCTACCGGACTATTTTACACAAAAAAATAGCTAATTGGAATGACTTTTTATACAAAATCTAATGCGACTGGACTACATATTATTCGAGTTGGCAAAAGTTATTCGAAGTTTTATTCGAAGCCTTCAATTGAAGATACAGATAAAAGATGAAAATTTTATTCAAAGCGACGAATAAAACGCTGTTCGAACAAAAAAGTATCTTTATTCGTTGAATAAATTCTTATCGAATAAAGTTGTTTGTTTATTCAATGTTCTTTTTGTCTCCTTTTTACGAAATATGTGTGTACGCATACAACACCCGTATCAAATATGTTAATAAAAGATAAATAAATATAATTTAAAACAGCAGATTAGTATAGTGTTCCTTGTTTTTTGTACATGGAATTCCCGGAATATAATTGTGTCATTTTTGCAATTTGGTTCTCGGGAATACCATTTTAAGTATTTGGAATGTAGTACCATTGATTAAAAAAAGTAAGCATCATTGCAAGTACAAATAGAAAAGGTTTATCGTTACACACATTAGTATGTAAGTGTTGTATCATTCTCGAATCTCTTTCGGTCGCGCCATTATTTTTCTACGTTCGGCGAGAATCGAAATCTCGTAGCCGTGGGTATTCCATCGTTCTTCTGATGGACAGAATTGCAATGTGGGGGGCATGAGGCAACAGCGTAAGAAAACTATCGATACGGTCCGGCAACAATGCCTTCGCCGTAGTAGAATACTCAAATTCAACTTGATGGTAACGGGGCACAGAATTTATTTGTAGGTACTGCCGTTAGATGTCGAATCCTCAAGCCGTCCCAGTTATCGATTACGTGTTTTTGCTAGTGCCCGTTTGTGTACATCTGCGCTTCGATCGATTTGGAGTTGGCCCCAAAGGAGTCACCCCCTTAAGTGTTTAAAAAATAATTTAAAATACACAACGCAATTTCTAGCTGGATATTTTCGATTGATTCTACAAATAACATTAAAGTGACTTCGCCCAAATATCATAGTATGATCACATGATGTATCTTACTGTTAGAATTTAGATGTGTAAAGTGAAGCAAGCTTTAAGGTGCATACATTTTAGACATGCCGTTAAGAAACTAGTTTTTGATCATTTTAGAGCGCTTCTCGCTTTGATATTGACTATTAACATAATGAATCCCTAAACCATAAACCTTATTGTTACTAAAAGAAAAATTAATGTTCAAACTATAAAGAAAAATTGAGAAAGGTTGAAATTAAATACAATTAAATTATACAGGGTGAGACAATAACTATGTCCACTTTGAATATTGCCGTTATTTGTAATAATATGAAAAAATGTTATATACAAAACTTACACGGTATAGAGGGGGGCATATTGAGACACAAACATTTTCTGCGTGGGTGAAGGTATAGAGGAGATTTCAAGGTCATCTCTATTTTTTTTAATGGAATGCTTTTTTTTTATCGCGATGCGATGGCCGGTGTTGAGAAGACTTCAGCGAGCTATCATTGGAGGTCATGCAAGGTCAAATGTGGTAGTAAAATAAACTTTTTTACATTACAAGAGATGCTCGAAGTGGTGACCATTTGCGTCAATACAAAGTTGCAATCTTCGTATCGCTGCATCACGTGCATGTCTTATCGTTTCTGAACTTATTCTAGCATTTATTTCATGAACTAATTAAAAATTAGTGCCCGATCAAAAACTAGTTCCTTAACGATACACCTGAATATGCTTTGAAGTATATACAGTGAGTGTAAAAAGTATTCGTACACCCTTTAAAACGGAACAACTCTTTTAAAATTGGTCCAAAAGACGAGTTTGTTTGTGAAGTTAGAGACATTAATTTACTAAATGATGTGAAACAAAAAATTTGAAAAAGTTGCAATTGGTCCGAATCGCGAAGAAATATTAAAGGTCATGTTTTACAACTTTTTAATCTAAGGCTATAATGAAAATTTAATAAATACATATCGAAGATTTATGTTAGTTATGTACATACTGAAACTTTCATTGAAATCGGATAATACAGAAACGAGCGACAGACATCAAAAGATGTGAGAATTGTTAGATTTACTAGAGTTGTAGATCGAAAGTCGGGAAACACTGCGATTTTCAACATTTTTAATCGTTTGTATCTCGTAGCAACGTTAACCGATTTTGATGAAATTTTCAACATGTATATAACTAACATAAATCTTCGATATGTATTTATTAAATTTTCATTATAGCCTCAGATTAAAAAGTTGTAAAACACGACCTATACTATTTTCTTCGCGATTCGGACCAATTGCAACTTTTTCAAATTTTTTTTCACTACATTGAGTACATCAATGTCTCTAACTTCACAAAAAAACTCAAGTCATTTGGACCAATTTTAAAAGAGTTGTTCCGTTTTAAAGGGTGTACGAATACTTTTTACACCCAATGTATGTTACTTTAAGTTTAAGTATTCATAATTTGCGAAAAGAAATGTCTTACAACATCACTTTTTATGAGACAAGAATTACAATCCTTTGATTTTAAAATGTAAAGTTTCATTTAAAAGAGCAATTACCGATAGCCATGTAAATTTGAATAAATATATACTAGGTTACTTCGACAGTTCTGACCCTATCTAAAATATATTACGAAGTAATATTTGATTTTGTAAAAATATTCTGTGTTATATCATACTTGTCACTTGGATTTATACTTTCTAAATGTAATCTTCTAGATACGAAAAGGTTGATGGACGTGATTAATGCAGCAACCTAATATAACCTGAGGGCCAACGGATACGTGTTTCTTAAATGTATACATTATATTCAACGATTTTTTTATTCCTTGAAATCCAAGAAAGATATTCTCTCTCATGACTCATCCTGTAAATGTGTGTGCTGTTTATTGTGTACGTGTGGCCGTGTTCGAGCGCGTTTAGAAACAATCGTGCGTCTATAATTGCGCGTCTATTGAGCGTGCACGCCGTAATGGCAAAGTAGAACGAAACTCCGCGTGCAATTCGACTAATAAGAAGACAGCAAAAAAAAGGACACAAGAATCGTATACGCAATAAAACTATATAGTAGTATTATATAGAAGACAGCTTGGGTGTGTCAGTGAGAAACAGCAAGATGGCAAATAAAACAACACTAGCATGTGCTTTTCTACAAATCTTCATAATCCAATATATAGTTGTCTGACTACGTATATTAGTCATCATTGGCGTAGATTGATTGCCGAGAAAGGAATTGCAATATCAAAGAGAAAGAGAAAAACAGAAGGAGAAATAAACATAGAAACCGGTCGCGTGAACAAAGCCAAAGAAGCCTACCATAGGTTTAAACACGTGACTGTTTCTTTGAGAAGCGGATTGACCGCCAGAACTTCCACCGCCGCTCCCAGCGACGGGTGGTTGATGATTAGAAGGTGGTGTTGAAACTTTATGCTGTTGTCGAGGATCATCTCTCGGTGTCGGCGGCAATGGCCGTGATGGTGGCTGCGGATCTGGGACTACTACAATACACAAAGAAGAACCGTATGAAATTCACAATGCAAAACACACCATTTGGTTATAATAAACTGAACACTTTGATGGCTGTACATTTCGCGTAACACTTTCTGACTGGTTCTGGTGAGACTGTTAAGCTTTGCGAGAGTGTTCTTTAATCGCAATCTTTCAAATTGTTCATTAAGTTATGGACATTTATTAAAGTTTATTAGACATTACTACAAATATTACATACAGAATCTACGTTTACAATGCTCATTATTTCCAGACATTATTGGTGTAACGTATTTTTTTTGAACCAGCGTGTCCATTTGAATCCATAGATGAATAATTATTTTTTAGTGACGCAAAGAGATTTGAATTGAATGATTGTTAAAAACACTTTCTGTGAACAAACCATTTGGCTGTAAACAATTATAGTTACGCAAACAGCGAAGAATATATAAATACAAAGTCTGATTCTTAATGAATGCAAAATAATTTAATTGAGCTAGGAAGTAACAGTTGGTAGAATGAAATTGCGCCCATATGACAGCGGCCAGTAAGGTGTTAATAAGATCTTTATGTAGATCATAAGCGGAATTAGATATTGATAGACTATCAAACACACCGATTAGTCTGTGAGGAATGGCAGGTCTTGCAGGAGGCCCTGGCTCTGGTATGTCTCTTTGAGATCTGCTGCTTGGCTTGTCTTTAGCAGCAGGTGGTTGAGGAGCTACTTCTTGAGTTAGAGTCCTACCTTCCTGGATTTGTTGGAAATTTCTACGCAATGTATCGCCGCCCGGAGCTTGAACGATAGATGATGGTTCGCCAGCCAATGCTGGCTCGTCCTCTTCGTTTTCACTACCACTGTACCGATAATCATCCCTTTCTATAATAAAAAGAAAATAATATAACCATAACTCGCTTAAAGGCTGTTTATGACAGAGGACAGGGCATCCAAGTGGAACCATTTCGATATCTCCGTACAAGTTAGTTTTAGCGGAAACAGTTTTAGATGAATAGTTTATAATTCGAAGGGGACAATATAATTACATTTGCACGTTTCAGAGGTAATTTAATCTTCTTAAGGAAAATTAACTTTATCTCGTAATAAAATTAATCCGTACCACATTAAATATCACTTGTAAAATACTTTTCTACGATTTATCATTGGAATCTTTTTCTTATTAATGTACTGCATATATTTAAGCAAATTCTCATTTTCAATGACTGTTTCGTAAGAACAATTACAAGACTTGTGAAATTAGAAATAAAATAAAAAGATTTCACTGATCTTTAAAACCTTTTTATATCATACTATTTTATGCACTCTTATATGTACATTAGAAATGCACAGAATTCCCAATCTCGGCGACGAAACATAGAAATGACAATTTTCTGAGAATACTTTGATATATCGACTTTATCTAAAGGTCATCTGAAGGTCATATCATTTACCATGGTGGAACTTGTTTGGACATAATTTATGTATCCTCTGATAGGACAAAATTAAATACACAATTCATGAGTCTAAATGCGACCTTGTAATTGCTATCTATCAAAATGGTTGCAGTTGCGTATCCCATCCGCTAGATATCGCTAATTCCCACACCTTTCTCTTGTTTACGTTTTTTACAACGATCGATATGATCTTTGAGCTGTATCCTGACTTGTCTCTCAGTCGGTTGGTCCCGGATAAAAGGGTGTTTAAGGAGCTGTTCCGTATACGGCCTCTGATGATAATCTTTCACTAACACCGTCTCGATGAAACCGTGGAACTTCTTCGCCCACTTCTTCGACTTCAGTCTTGGCGGCGGGTTACGCGGTATCAGGAACAAGGCCTGTCGGTCGTGTCAAATTGGAAAATTGAATATCATCGTCGTCGCGTCGTCCACACGGCGCAACAGCAGGCGATACGGATTGATATTTCAAGTAAGCACTTACTCGCATCGGATGAAGGTCGCAGAGCGGCGGTTGTGATTCAGCCATTTCTAGAGCAGTAATTCCGAGTGACCAGAGATCACTTCTATTGTCGTATGTGGCGTCCGGATTCTCATCGCAGGCTATAACTTCCGGTGCCATCCAATACGGCGTCCCGATAAATGTATTTCTTCTACCTATTGTCCTGTCTAACTGTGCACTGACACCGAAATCAACTGTAATGAAGAACGTGGAGGAGGCATAATTATTCACCGAACTGCGCGGCGTTAACTCGTCAGAACTAGCGGCCTGGGATTTTCTCGCAAGCAGTCTGATAGCCGAAGCTCTCTCAAACCCTAAATATAATAGAACGTCTTTATGCACCATACTAATTTACTAATTTACTAATTTCTTATACACTTCATATTATAGTATACCAAACTATATTGTATTATAATCTACACATATTAATATGTATATTACAGAATTTAACTTAGCATACATTCAATGCTGATAGTTCCAGTGTTAAAACACTTACAGATTGAATGGTCGTATCTTGTAAAATTTTACAATACTATTAATGGTATAACATAGACTGGTAGCTGTCAGAGAAACATATTATACAAATTATAATAAAATAATGTTGGCTTTACATATTTCATATAGTGAAAATTTCGCTTCAAATTCATGTGACAGTCAATATGCTAAGGATGTGGTGTCACAGTGGCACCGATATCGGGCGATTCGCCCGACATCGACTGAACTTTTCAACCTATGTATTGGGAAGCACTGCGTGGTCTTAGTGACCAATCAAATCGGCTCACATCTGACGAAAACAATCTGATGACCGACGTCGGTGCCACTGTGACCACAGCCTTAGGCACAACAATTCAGATCAGAAATTATAAAATGTGACCGGCTACACTTTTCTTCGACGATTTTCATTTTCATTTTTCTTTTCTTTTTATATGTTCTTCAATATTCCATTGATGACCTGAGGCCTCTTGCGCAATAATTTATCTACTAATAGTATTAGTGAATTTTCAAGTTACAAGCTGTAACTTGTAGACTTCTGTGGTACAAACAGTTTTTACAATTTGCAAGTTACGCGTTAAATCGCTAATAATATTAGTACACCTGACATACTGCAGCCGACGGACGGTTAACTATATTAATCAATGATTGTTCACTTGTATGAAAGTGCATATAACTTCAAAACGCGAACCAGGACAGTTAGCTGCCTTGTAATTTGTAAAATATTAAGATGAAAAAGGCCGCTAGTTCCAGCGAATTAATCTTGAAAATGATTCACATGAAAAGCTGCTTTTATTATATTGTACCATATAAAATTGCTGTTTCTAAAAAATCATTTTTATTCGATCGAAATATGTACCATGATAATTAATAGCTTCCTTCAAACAAGATATTATCTGATACATTCTGTTTTTTATCAAAAATGGTGCTTTTAGACTGTACGAAGTCTTCAAAGCCTGCAACTACCGATTCTCGATTAGAGAATGTTCTGTTTTCCAGAAGGATCTTCCGATAACACAAAAAGTAATCTTTGGTTCGCGAAACTTCTGGCGAATGTCGTGATTAACGAAAGACATCATAATTTAATTCAGCTAACTCTTCCATGACCTAATATGAATTTATATTGCACAAATATTCGAAGCTAGTTCTTTGATACGATATTGTTTACTTATGTGGAATAGTCACAACATCATAGTAAGAATTCAATAATTAAAAGATATAGGGAAACACAGTAATATTACATTTTCTGACTAGTACAATAAACTATATTGGCAATTTCATGTGGTACAACCCGATAGAAAAGAAAAGAAAAACAAGAACCACACACCAAGCTTGACTTCAGCGTTGTCAGTTAGCAGGACATTCTGCCCCTTGATGTCCCTGTGAATAACTTTATTGCTGTGAAGATAACTAAGCCCCCTTAATATCTCCCGTGATATATAGGCGATCCATTCCTCCTTTAAACTCTGGCCCTTAGTTGACTTGACGAGGTCTGTGACGGAGCCAGCTCCGCAATATTCCATAACCAACCATAACTGATCATCTTTCCCAGGTGACGACTTCTTCACGAAGGCACCATAATACGTTGCTATATTTCTGTGATTCGAATACTGCAATACCGAACGACAAATAATTGTAACTTACTAGTAAGAAATGTTACATTTCGATTCTTTCAGTTGAACGTCACCCTCAGCTGATTGTACTCACCCGTTTTAATACATTTATTTCTAATTTTATTTCCTCCTCTTCATCCTGGAATAAACATTAATATTATAAGTAAAACGAGACATTTATAATTTTACAAAAACATAATTGTTATAACAATGTTAATAATATCGTGTCAGACGTTCGCTATATCTTATGTTTTAAGTATTTTCAAATTTTAAATCCGAGCTATTTTTATAGCTAATAATATTGGGCTGTAAGAGGCATCAGGAAACATATAGATATCATTGTTTAATCTTCCTTCAGTATGCTGTAATATTTTGAGCAAAAAGGACGTATTTAACGAATAAATAGAAATTAACGTTTTCTAAGAACGCAAATCTTATATTATTTTTCTTAAAATCTTGTTAAGTACCTTAAAATCTTGTAAAATACATTGTGTCTAGCATGGGTCACTATTGACCCAATCATCAGTTTTCACGGTCGGTCATTTGAGGGTTAAATGTAAGTTTGTCCATACATCAAACAATTAACCATAAAAAAAACAGTATATTTCTAGTATTTAAATTTTAAATCAATCGCTTTATTTTAAAAGACGTCTTCGATTTTTAAGAAATTCGTTACCAGTAAAAGGACATAATTTTATAACACCTGAAAAGAGTATTATATTCAACTTATAACAGTCCAATTATAACAATCATATTATTGCCGAAAATATTAACGTGTGTGGATCTAAATTATAATTTTATAATCTTTTATAATCCCATAACTTTAATCAACTTTCCTCTGATGAATTTCAAACGAGAATTTGTAACGAGCATCACACACTATAAGCTTACAATATTACAAAAGTATTCGGTGTTAAAAATTATTAAACTAAAAGAATACTTGAGTTACATCATATTAGGAACTACTCAATCTTCATTATTCATATTTCCGAAAGTTTCTCTTTTCATTTCTTCAGAAGGGAATTATGCATAGAGAGGGCAACCTCATGTATGACCGTGACCTTGACATATGTTGTCAAGGTCATCGTCCTAAGTAACCTTGACTTTAAAAACATTGGCGGTCACGATCCGTTCAAAAATTATGAACCGTCAAAGTTTCTGAATACCGTATAAGAGAAGATACATATTTGAAAGAACGATCGGAGTGGGTCTGAGGCTAGACTCGTTAGCTGCGAGGGGGTTTGGGGGAGGGTCGACAGTTCCGGTCGGCCACACTGCCAGTCTGCTGAAAAAACACAAACAGCTGACAAGTCTGCTAAAATATACATTCGCTCTTTCCAAGAACAATCAGTGTTAGGTACACCACCTCAAGTAGAAACTCGTCTATTGTTTTGGTGGAGGGGCTGCAGCCCCTCCTCCAAACCCCCACCCGCTAGCGAATCTAGTCACCGACCTAGTCAGATCACACTTTCAAACATGTCTCCTTATTTATTATTAATGTATAAACAACTAATCAAGAAGTAAACATGCTACAACAAAAATGTAGATCGTCGGAGGAATGTAAACAAAGCTTCGGTCGAAACATTGGCATTACAGTCTCGATAAGTGTGAATGCCACGGTTCCGCGGAGTCACATTCACGCTGTAGGCGAACACTTGTCAGCACCTCGTCAGTCTGTTTTTTGCTCGAAGCTCGAGCCTCGGCCGCTTGTCTATTTGCAATGTTCCGAACGTAGAAAAAGGACAAGCGATGTGGAAAACAGAAAGAGACAGATTTACATTATACCCGACCACACAGTCCGATTGTGTATGTACCGTTTCCCCCAATAATAAAAATACGTGTGACTGGAGGTGATCCAGCTACATTTAATTCTTCGACAGCTCTCTGGGCAGTCGCTGACGATTGAACGCTTCGACTAATCATCGTACATTCACCCGTTCCGTCCGTCGCGTTCATTGTGACCCGGTGCGCCAAGACAACTTCCCATTCACGAGCCAAAAAAAGATTACATTCCCGGGTATCGGCGTGACAACGCTAATGCAACGATGAAACTTTTTTATTTTTGATTCGTTGTTAATGAAACTTACTAGTATATTGGTGAGATTTTTCTGATTAAAATGATACCAAATGGAACATAATTTGGATCATAGTTACTCCTCTAGAAAGTGTTAATAGTTCTTATTCGTTCATTATAGCTTCCGATAAATCATAAGTAAATATGGTCTAAATTATACCGTGTTTGGTATCATTTTAATCAGAAAAATCTCACGAATATGTTCGTAAAAGTTTCGTTAACAAAGAACCAAAAATAAAAAGTTTCATCGTTGCATTTGATCCCCCTGTTTAGCCGTCGCGGCGCACCGGGCAAAAAATTATACGCTTGACTGGTTCGATGGCACCCTTCCCCAGTGGTGGGATGACGATTTCACACTAATCGTGGAGGAACCGGCTCGCACTTATAGAGGATTTACTGTATATCGTACTTTCGTATTGTACGAAACGGAAACTTTAACGGTTAATAACTTTTGAACGCATCGTAACCGCCAATTGTTTCACCATCCAGATTATACAGGATAATGACCTTGACAACATATGTCAAAATCAAGGTCATACATGAGGTTGCCCTCTTTATGCATAATTACCCTATAGGTAATCTAATCATTTATTCAGTTGGTATAATTTTAATTTCTCTGACACTTACTACTTTAAATAATTTTCGAATATATATATCATAATTGTATGATAATATAAACAAAGCTATCTGTAATTCTTTAAACATTCGGTATGCTTCTATTGCACTAATGACTTCATCTTGAAGAAGGCACAATAATTCACTGTTCAACAAATTGGAACTTTTTTTCGTTTTTGTAACTTCTAATAAGCGTTTCTGATAGGCCTTTATTAGCTGACTGCGAATCTGCAAAGCGTTTCTTTCCAGCACATCCAAGTTTTAAAAAAATCAGTTTTAAAAAAAATTTCAAATTTGGCACTGTGTTGTGCTTTTACAGTAATAGTTATGCAATTTCTTTTGACATGAAATAATTCTCTGGACTCTTCCGAACAAAAACATATAAATTATCACACGGCGGCGACAGTGGTACTCAATGATGGCGGTCGCCTTGCCTGCCGCTCAGCGTAACAGAAACGCTAGGCGCGTACGGCCACCACTGTCGGCGCCGTGTGTTTTGCTGAACTATTTCGCTTCCCTATGTAAAACAATGCAGATTTTGTAACTTTCCTTGACACTTTCCTGAACAGAAAGGTCTACTCTATTGCGTCCTGTGGTTAGATTTTTTCCTAAACCTTTAGTTTTTGAAATAAATTAATGCAAATCAGCAAAAAGTGGTGCATTTTCGGTGTTTTTTTCACTTTAAACATTATTTAAACATATTTCGATGTCTATAATCTAATAACAATTTATACCATTTTCTTCGGAAGAGTCCAGGGAATTATTTCATGTCAAAAGAAATTGCATAACTATTACTGTAAAAGCACAACACAGTTCCAAAGTTGAAAATTTGTAATTTTTTTAAAAATTGATTTTTCCAAAAACTGGACGTGCTGTAAACAAACGGTTTGCAGATTCGTATTCAACTCATAATGGTCTATCAGAAACGCTTATTGAAAAGCGCAAAAAATTTTAGGTATTGAACAGTGTTATAGAAAGACTGATGTTCGGCAACGTTTATACAGCTTCATAATCCGTTAGTACACGATCGATGCATTCTTAGCATATTATCTAGTGTACCGACAACACAATCTGTGTCAATATATAAACATTATTTTTCAAAGCTTCCACGAGAAAGACCGAATGAGGTCAAAGCTAAAGAGGCGTATGATCCACTTTATATCGGGTCACGACCATCCACTCTTTTTTTAGTGACTTTTTAATTAATGTTCAATCTACTATTTCATTCAGTTCTTCAGAAAATACAAAGAAATGGAAAAATTGGTTGTATTTATAAAAATAATAAATTGGAACTGAGGACTTAGTAAAAACAAGACGTAGTGAAAGCTCGATGACTTTCGGAAACTGCTTCATAATATTAGACCGGGAGCCAGTGACACTGTTTGATGTCTCATTTGCTCAAAGTCGATTTATATATTACTAGCCGACGTATCCACTCTTGCGCGGACAGCTTAATTTGTGAATGAAATTTTAGTTCGAAATGGTGGCCCTCGGCATTGTGAAGCCATGTAGCGATGCCTATCAGTAAATAAATTATTTGCACGTACATGAAGTAGAGTAGTTTAACTAAAGCAGCATGTTCTTATAGAGTAACTAAGTACAGTAAAACCTGTTTCTGTGCGGTCCTTTTTTATGCGATTTGTTTTGTGCGATTTTATTTTTGTGCGACTTTTTTTCTGCGGTCCCTCTCCGCAGCATAAAAAAGAATTTCTGTAGTATGTCGTACAAAGTTGTTTATTATATGTAGTATTTATGAAATTTCCGAATATTTTTTTGTGCGGTTTCTTTTATGCGGTCCCTATCTACCGCATAAAAACAGGTTTTACTGTACGGCTCATTTGCAAGGCACAGTATGGTTTTCCCGTTTCGTGATATCAACCAATTAAAACAACAATTTCAACAATTTCATAGAAAGTGCATTTATCCATCATTTCTCCCTCATTTATCCCTCATTTATCGCTGATCATTCACTGTCAATAATAACCAATCAACTTTCAAAATTACAAAAAGTTCTACACTATATAATATTGTTTTAGCCATAAGTACACGCCCACAATCAACAGGCTTCTATTCCAGTTCTGGATATTACGTTACTTATACCCAAAAGCTCAAAGAGATTGGGTTCCTGCTATGGAACATAACAGTTCAGTGAATATTCGACAAATGTTCATGCCCACCGTAGAAAGTTAAGAATTTATGTGTAAAAAATAACAAAAAAATAATTTTGTTTACACATGACGCGTCGTAAAAAAATTTTCTCTTGGTGGTGCAATAGTTCGAAAGAACTGAACAACTTCTGTATTTAAAGCTTTGTTCTATCTCGTAACTTTACAAAGTTACATTTAAAAAAAACGAAAGAACGCAAAAACATTCATACTAAGTTTCACTAGAATCAGAATTTTCGGGTCGGAACCTTCCCTTGTGAGTCCGAACCGAAGAAAAGGACAGCGACTGGAATACAAAAAGGTAGTCAGAGTGGAAGCAGCCAAAAAAATATAAAAATACAAATACAACCAAAGTTAAGCACACATTGATCTAAAATAAAGTTTATATTTTCTCAAGTTATTGCTGACTTTGTCACAATTACTTAATTCGTCGCTTATTTATGTATGCTATTTTCAATAATATAAATAATATGGATGAGAAGGATTCGCTATAAAACTGAGATAAATTTGAAAGTTGCACATTTTTTAAATTGAAAGAACAAAACTTGTTTTGTACGACTTACATGTGTAAATTGCATGTATATTTAGCATTTAAACACCATCTATGCTTAAAAAACCAAACGAATCAATTCAAAATATAAAAAATCAAAGAAGTAAAATTGTTAGGTTTACATTAACTTTTTTTAAAAATTGGCCACGCTGTTTGTTAATACCTCGTTGAGCTACCCCAAATTAAAAAGAAAATCATCGTTTTACGGTCATTTGTTGCAGAGAAAACCTAAATTTTTCCGACTCCGCCAGATATAACGTACGAGATCAATTTCGGGTTCTCGAGCTCATTCGCACAGCCGCTGTCCCCACTCCGCACCCGTGCGCTGACTCATTCGCATACCGGGGCTTTGTTGATCTCTATCAGAGAAGTCTCTGAAAGGATTCATTCGAAAATTAAATAGCAGATAATTCAACTCTTCCTCCAGACTTCGTCCAAATTTGAATTCTAAATGTTCAAAATTGACGCTACAGATTTTTCAAAAACAAAAAATTATCTGGGCTCTTAGTTAACATAGAGTGGAATATTTTATTTTGAAATGTGTAGAAACATAGCAGCTATCGAATAGCCTATACAGTAATTCGATACAGTCGAAATTAAAGAAGATATTCTAATTGTTTACGAGAAACAAAGATACCCATTCTTTAGAGCCATGTTTTGGTGGTTTAATTTAAAAAATGC